GCTGGGAATTCCTTATTAACTTAGTTTATGTATTATAATAATTTTCCTGAGTCTTGTTAATACTAATTAATAGACTGTGGAATTTTGTGCAACGCGATACATCCATTCTCTCTCTATTTTTTACGTATGCATAAAATCCGCAGTCTGCTAATTATCGTAATTGATTGACTTACATTCGTTATGAATATAATTCCTGATTTACGCGTGTTTCACGCTCGCTCAGGATCGGAGAGTAGAGTAAGTACCAGATCTGAGATTATGCAAAAGATTCTAAACGAATAAATGTGCATAATAATATAGCAAATCCTATAAAATACTCAATCTTAGTATATTTAATTAAAATAAAAACTGGATCTACGAGTCTGAACTGTTTTATAATAAAAATTCTAATCCGATACGTAGATTGAACGAAGAATTCCGAGACCTGAGATTGCAAGATCTACGACCACTGGCTACGCTAGGAGTGGGCGGTTTTGGAAGAGTGGAACTGGTCCAAATAGCCGGCGACGGAAGCCGGTCGTTCGCGTTGAAACAGATGAAAAAAGCACAGATCGTGGAAACGCGACAGCAACAGCATATCATGTCCGAGAAGAGGATAATGGGCGAGGCCGATTGCGATTTCGTCGTGAAACTGTTCAAAACGTTTAAAGACCGGAAGTATCTATACATGTTGATGGAGGCCTGTCTCGGCGGAGAACTGTGGACTGTTCTGAGGGACAAGGGTCATTTCGATGACGGGACGACTAGATTTTACACCGCCTGCGTCGTCGAGGCCTTCGATTATCTTCATTCGCGAAATATTATCTACAGAGACCTCAAACCGGAGAATCTGTTGTTGGACGGCCAAGGGTAAGAGCGAACTTAATTATTTTAAGGATGTTCGTGTATCATTTCAATAATTCCTATGAATTTTCAAATTATTCATATCACCATATAAAATTTTAAGATTTTTTATAAATTATTGTATACATTCAATAATTTTCTACTATTCAGCTACGTGAAGCTAGTCGACTTCGGTTTTGCGAAACGTTTGGATCACGGCAGGAAGACTTGGACTTTCTGCGGCACGCCTGAATACGTGGCGCCGGAAGTTATTCTGAACAAAGGTCACGATATTAGCGCAGACTACTGGTCTCTGGGCGTCCTGATGTTCGAATTGTTGACCGGGACACCACCATTCACCGGAGGAGATCCTATGAAGACTTACAATATCATATTAAAGGGTATCGACGCCATCGAATTCCCGAGGTCAATAACAAGAAACGCCACTGCGCTCATTAAAAAACTTTGCAGGTAATTAAATAAGAGAAGATTTTCTGAGAAATTAAAAATCCTTCTCAGTATATATTTCTCGGTATTAAATTTTAATTAAAAATTGAATAATAAAAATAAATTATTATCATATTAATCACTTAATCTCTCTATTTGATTTTAGGGATAATCCGGCAGAACGTCTCGGTTACCAGAAGGGCGGCATTAGTGAAATACAGAAACACAAGTAAGTGTATGAAACCACATTTAAAAATGATATGGAGAACAGTCGTAAGGATTAATTGTTCATGTAGGTGGTTCGATGGTTTCAACTGGGAAGGACTGAGAGCCAGAACGCTCGAGCCTCCGATAATGCCAAGGGTTCAAAACGCCGCTGATACGACGAACTTCGACGAATATCCTCCCGATTCCGATCCACCCCCGCCTGACGACATTTCCGGCTGGGACAACGACTTCTAACGTTAGACTGTTTGCAACGTGATTGTTTTTTATGGGACAGAGAAGCTCCGCGATGCTTTTCAATGATGATGATCAGGGAATCGCTGAGAAACGTTTCACAATCTCTGCATTTATAGTTATAATGAAACCGCGAACGATTCGCGGATTACTATACGATTCCTAGATCTTGAAATTCTGAGCCTAGATCATTCGAAGGATCCATAGGAACCGATCTGATAATAGAGACGTCAGGGTTTTCGATTTTTTTTTTTTTTNATGAATTTTCAAATTATTCATATCACCATATAAAATTTTAAGATTTTTTATAAATTATTGTATACATTCAATAATTTTCTACTATTCAGCTACGTGAAGCTAGTCGACTTCGGTTTTGCGAAACGTTTGGATCACGGCAGGAAGACTTGGACTTTCTGCGGCACGCCTGAATACGTGGCGCCGGAAGTTATTCTGAACAAAGGTCACGATATTAGCGCAGACTACTGGTCTCTGGGCGTCCTGATGTTCGAATTGTTGACCGGGACACCACCATTCACCGGAGGAGATCCTATGAAGACTTACAATATCATATTAAAGGGTATCGACGCCATCGAATTCCCGAGGTCAATAACAAGAAACGCCACTGCGCTCATTAAAAAACTTTGCAGGTAATTAAATAAGAGAAGATTTTCTGAGAAATTAAAAATCCTTCTCAGTATATATTTCTCGGTATTAAATTTTAATTAAAAATTGAATAATAAAAATAAATTATTATCATATTAATCACTTAATCTCTCTATTTGATTTTAGGGATAATCCGGCAGAACGTCTCGGTTACCAGAAGGGCGGCATTAGTGAAATACAGAAACACAAGTAAGTGTATGAAACCACATTTAAAAATGATATGGAGAACAGTCGTAAGGATTAATTGTTCATGTAGGTGGTTCGATGGTTTCAACTGGGAAGGACTGAGAGCCAGAACGCTCGAGCCTCCGATAATGCCAAGGGTTCAAAACGCCGCTGATACGACGAACTTCGACGAATATCCTCCCGATTCCGATCCACCCCCGCCTGACGACATTTCCGGCTGGGACAACGACTTCTAACGTTAGACTGTTTGCAACGTGATTGTTTTTTATGGGACAGAGAAGCTCCGCGATGCTTTTCAATGATGATGATCAGGGAATCGCTGAGAAACGTTTCACAATCTCTGCATTTATAGTTATAATGAAACCGCGAACGATTCGCGGATTACTATACGATTCCTAGATCTTGAAATTCTGAGCCTAGATCATTCGAAGGATCCATAGGAACCGATCTGATAATAGAGACGTCAGGGTTTTCGATTTTTTTTTTTTTTTAATGTGTTTAACTGGTCCGCGCGAGTCACACGGTGGATCGATAGTTTGCAATCGATAACCCGGCTCTGTGATACGAATTCAGAAACGCGACACCCTTTCTAGAACTCTTCGAGGCTGATCTATAGATTCAAGAGATCGTAACCGTACTACGCGAGAGCTAAGAATTTTTATATAACATCCCCTGGGAGACACGTCCTCGGGTGATAAAAACTAAAAATCTCGCGAACCGATTTAGAGAAGTATAATAAATGCGCACGACTTTTAATAGCTAGCGTCCGATTAAATTTATTGCTAGCGCAGCGACTTTGTAAACAAGTCCAAGTGCCATACCGAATAACGAGACGAAGGCGATGAATGGCGATGACCGTACAGAGAGTATACGATGTGCAATAATTTAAGCTCAATTAAATAAGCTAATAAAAAAATTATCTGGCAAACCGAATTAACGAACAATTTCATTCGAATAAATTGTAAATTAAAGAAGAGTTGTAGTATGGCGTACTTTTATACCAAGGAGAGAATGAATCTGGATGGATCGTTAAAAATAGCGAGGATATATACAGAATAAATCGATTGACTGTTATCGACAGGAAATTAATTATTCCTCGATTAGATCCAATTCATATTTATCTATCGGACTTGGAGATGTCATCCCTCATTCTCCAGAATACTTATTTATTTCATACAGACGATATTTCTCTAATTCTACGAAACTGGAAAGGAGATCTTGCCATCGAGACTCGATTGAAAATTGCGCAGACGATTAACGTTTCACGATTTGATGAAGAGGAACGAACCCCGCTGCCTGGTTCGATTGTTGTTTGATTTATCTTCATAGTTTATTGTAATAATTCTATTTTA